CACAAACCAAATGGATCTGTCCCATCATTTTACAATGAAAACTAAAATCTCCCTAAAGATTTTTCCTGAAGTCCAAAGATAAATTTTTTTATAGAAATGTCCCCATTTTCAAGATAATTTAAAATGTGTTGGCCTCTGTCAATCTTTGTCCTAAATTTTAATGAGTGGCGGTATTTTGCCTGTTTCATTTAGTGAGTGACTGGCAACATTTTGCATAGGGATGTCAGTGGTAAAGGATTTGCTATGGAAAATTGAGAATTTTGTGAGAGGTGGTATGATTTTAACTTTCAAGTTTCTGAGCAATCACAAGTACCATAGAATACTTCTTCAGACAGCCCTTTTTTAAGTCCTGTTTCTTCATTCAAAAAAGTGATTTTTTTAAAAACCATAGTGTTTGAAGGCAGTTTTCTGCTAGTGACAAGCATTAAGTGCAAAATGAATTACTGCTATAGAACATTTAGTAGCTGTGTAATTTTAGCACAATTTAGAAAATGAATTAAGGAAAGTCTTAATGTTGGCTAATTCTTTGAAGATGCATTAATCTCCCAAATTACCCTAAATATATCTATGAAAGCTTAACATTTTTAGCTTTCACCTCAGAGGTCAAAGTGTACATATGTGTGTCTGTGTGTGTGTGTGTGTGTGCATCTCCCTCTATGAGAAAATGCACGGTCTACAGACAGAACTTTGTCTTGCTTGCTGCTGTGTTCCCAGTGCCCACAGGTAGACCTGACATTCAGTAATCTTTGTTCAATGAATAAATGAGTGGAATCTTATCTTCCTGAAAGAGGAATTGACTTTTAATTCATCAAGTATGGTAAATTCATATTTTGGGCTTTGCTTCTTTCTTAAAGCTGGCTTAATAGTTATAGCTAAAATAGAAATTTTCCTTAACAGTCTGTGCTTTAGTGTAACTCTGATATATTTAGTTTTGGATACTTTGTATTACATATATAAAGAAAAGATTATGGTAATTTGTTAAAATATAACTTATTTCTGTCAAGGAAAACATTTCTATAAAAATTAATAGAGATTAATTTTCTGTAACAGCATTTGAAATGTCTCTTTAAAGATTTCCTGAGATTATTTTAGAATACTGTTATTTACAAAAACATTAACCTTATTTAAGATTATCTTTTATTTTAAAACTTCATGATTTTTTATTTGCACTGAAACAGCAACGAAGAACTAAGGCAAATAGATATAGAATATAAATTTGCTCATCATCCTTCTAACAAAGGATTAAGTCATTTCATTTAAGTTCACTAAAGTTTCAAACAACATTTAAGCATCCATACTATGAAAAGCAATATATTAGATGCCAGGTGTCTTGCTTTTAAAAATTATTTAATCTAGTAACTACATGGACTACAATTTAAGCTTTCTTTGATGATAGATACCAAAGGAATTCCGGTATCCAGCCTCATCAGTACATGTTATCATAATTTAAAATTATTATTGTATCGGAAAAGCTTAAAACTGCCTGTCAGTAAAGTCCTCTCGTGGGTAGAGCTGTGAAGGATACTGTACAGCAAACGGAATCACCTCTGGCTAAGGAGGAAGTATGTTACCTTCTCTTAGGCGCAGCTTAGTTTTAGAAATTTACTTCATTTGCTTCTTCAGCATCTTCAAATAGTCATCCCCTCGGTCTTATGAGTAGCTCTGTGGGAGGTCTAAGGTGAACCCTTGCTAAGTCATCCTGTGGTCCGTAGACCAGCACTGCAGCATATCGGAGCTTGTTGGAAATGTAGAATCTTGAGCCCCTCTACAGATTAACTGAATCTGAATCTGCATTTTCACAAGAGCCCAAGCGATGTGTATACCCACTGAAGTTGGAGAAGCACTCAGGTAAATAGACCTCCCCTCCCCTTTCTTACCTTGGATTCCTTTTAGTGGAAGAAGGTAAGCAGTATAAATGCATTTGGATGTGTGCCTGCTTTTGTGTGTGCACGTGCGTGTGGAGAAATAAAACCGTATTTAATGTAAAAGCCTCACTTTTCCCCACAAGGGTACCTACTGAACGCCATATAATACCATTAATTGCCTCCAGTATAAGTTGATGTTTCTGGCTATGCCAACATCTAAAGTACCTAGTCCCTTGGCCATGATATTGTTTTCCCCTCCTGGAAGCAAATTAACAATCCATAAAAGATCCTGACTACCTTCTGTAAAAAAAGGAAGAGTTTGTAAAACAAAGTGGCATTTTCAAGGCAGTCACTGTACTGTAATGACAGATATCTTACAGATATCCACTATATGCTGGGCACTGTGCTAATTGCTGGAGACATAATCTCAGTTATACGGGGACCCTGCCTTCAAAGGAACCAACAGCCTACTAGAAGTGATAGAATAAAATGGTGCATGCAGGCACTTGCAGTCAGGAGGTCTGCACTAGGTCCCTACCATCCACTTCCTAGCTGTGTATCCTTAGGCTAGTCACCCAGCTTCTCTGAGCCTCAGTATTGTCAACTATACAATGGGATTGATAAAGTGTCTTCCTCACAATGTAGTTATGAGAATAAAATGAGATAATGCATGTGAAGCAGTTGGTGTACTTCATGGCATCTAATAAGCATTCAGCACATCTTACATAAGTAACATTTATTTACATAAAGTCAAGTATAATTTGAGAAACACTGTAATAGAAGTATGCATGAGATTCTCTGGCAATCTCACAAAGAGGAGCCCTAAGTTAGAAAGGAAGGTCGTGGAGGGCTACCCAGATGATGTGATTTTTGAGGTGGATTTTGAAGGATTAGTCAAGTCTATCAGGCAGAAAAAAAGCTCAAGTACCCAAGTCAAAAGGTATGAAAGTTTTTATCTGGGCAGTAGCGGGTAGTGTAATGGGATCAGAATGTAAAGGAATGGGATGTAGAAGGAATAACTCAGAAGTGTTAGCTGAGGCCGTGTCATGGAGGGTTATATATTGGTTTCTGGGCTGTTTGAATTGTGACAAAGCAGTGGAGGACTACTGAAGATTTTTTAGGCAGGGCCACTTGATATGCAGAAGTGGGATGGAAAAGAAGGAATTTGTGGTAGGGACTCTTGACAGGTCTCCCCCTTTGCCCCCTTTCTCCTAAACTCCACATCCTAATTGCTAGCTGCCTGTCATGTCCAAATCTTACCATTTTCAAAACCAAGATCCTTCCCCCCCCCCGCTTCCAGTCTGTTCCTCTGCCTGTATTCCCTATCCTGAAGAGATCAGCAGCGTCGCCATTCACGGAGGTCTTCAAGCTGAAAATCAGGGATCATCCCTGAATCCTCATTTTCTAGTAGCTCCTTCTTCCTCCATCTCCCTGGCCCCTTCCCTTTTCCCTGTCCCTTCCCACCTTCTCCCCACCAACATGGTACTTTTCTGCCTCTTAAATACTGAACCTGTCCTTTCTTCTCACTCATCACTGTTACAGCCCCAACACAGCCCTCTTCTGTATCCTTTATTCCCGCCAGAAAATCTTCTTGAAACAGATTGGGGCCTTATTAGCCCCCTAGAGCTTTCAGGTCACTACCTACTACATACCTTGTATCACGGATTACACCCTTCACACACATTTCCAGTTTTATTTGTAAATCCCACCAAAAGGTCCTTTTGTCATCTCATTGTTACTTAATAAATTAACCTTTGGTGTGGAAACAACTAGACTAAGCACATTTAGTTTTAGCGAGTGGAGTTGCAGAGACTTCTTGTTAGGACCTTAGCTTAGAAGATTCCTTTCTGATGACATCGTCACCATCCTTTAGTCGTAATTACATGAACCAGCTGAACAGAAGAAGTGGTTTCAAATGTGCTGGTGTCTCTTGACTGGGAACTGCTTCCACTAAATTGAGTCACTAGCCAAAGATTAAAAGGATGCACTTTGGAGCCACATTCAGCTCTCGAACCACACTGTCATTTCCCAGACTTTGGATGCAGTTTTTACATTTGGAAAGAGATTTCAAACAGTGACAGAATTCTGCAGTTTCTCCTCTAGTTGTTATAGAACAGCTGATACGGTGAAGCATATTTGGCTGGTTTCCCAGATCAGAGCCTGTATTCCTCGGAGTTAAATAATAACTTTAAATTGTAATGTAGTTTATTTACTCAGCCACTAGACTGTTGGTCTTCATAGCTGAGCTGTCTGGTATCTTGTGAGTATTCTGTTGAAGAAAACATGCTGTGAGTGTAGAAAGGGACTAGATAAGTTATTTCGGGGCAAACAGAGTTCATCTACTTTTTAAGGGAACTCAAACTATCGAATATTTTTACAGCTGTTTCAAAAACATCTATTTAATTTACTGATTACAAACTCCCTTCTGAAAATCGCATGGGAGCTCAACACCTACAAATACACCTATGGAAAAGATAAAAGGACACTTGAACATTTTTTTGCATTTTGTAATTTCCTGTTCTTCATTTTCTCCACTGTTAAGATTTAACATTTCCCTAAAAAAAAGTGTTTTTTGTTTTAATTTTCTACTGGAAGTAACTTTCAAGTATGATTAATCCTATAAATGCATGAATGAGGAAAAGACCAGTTATATGTATGTAATTAAAATATCAAAGGCCTGGTGTTTATACATTTATTTTGTATTTGTATCATAATGAAAAATAAATTTAGCATGATAAAATAATATAAATAGGGAAATTACTCATTCAAAAATGGTCTTGATTAGGCAAATCCATATGCTTATATGGATTTTTAAAGATCATAGCAGTCCTTTCTGTGAAAAAGTCTTTAAGAAAGTATATTTAAAAATAGAACAGAAATTGAATTGAAGTTTTAAGTTACAACATTCACGCACAGGCACAAGGCAGTCTATATTTATACTCTCGAAAGAGCTTGGGAATTGTCACTTCACGATGATTTGGCTTTAGTGTTTTTCACCAGAAATCTAATGCTTGTAGATAATTTCTCAATGAACAGTTACTTTCATTTTAAATTGAAAAATAATCTTCCTTCATCAGGCAGGAAAAAATGATAGGATGATTCATAAAGAAAGAAATGTTGATTTTTGTCTTTCAGACCTGAAGATTATCGCCTCTAGGAGAATGAAAATTGCTGGAAAGAGCAATGAGGTGACTGAAGCTTCTTCCCGATGAGTCTCCCGAGCTACAGGCCGAGTGAGGCAGCTGCTGCGTTTTGACAAGGAACTTGTCATGGGCACTGAAAGCTTGTGGAGAAAGATCAGGAGGTGATAATCCTTCGATAGATACGTTATTTTATAGAATTTTTTTATTATGTAGTCCAGTTTGGATGTTGTACATGATGATAAGAATAAAATTGCTTAGTTGTTTAACTGTTCAATTTTTCATTTAACAAAAACACAAACCCTAGTGTTGTACCTAGGTACAAACCTAGGTGCAGATAAAGTTGCCGACAAGTGCCCGTCGGTGCAGATTCCCTCAAGTTCCGCCATCACTGTTCTGCCCCCCACCCCCCGCCCCGGGGAAAACAAGGCCCACTTTCACTTTTCCTTTCAGTGATTATTTTAGCTAACCTCCCAGCTCAGAAGGGTAAGGTTTGCGCTGAGGTATTTACAAAGCGCAATCATCTTTTTCCCATATAGCTCTTGGTCTCCATGACCCCAAAATAAACTATTGCCTGTCTGCTCCCTGGAAATCTCACTGCCCTGCCTGTGCTACCATGTTCAGACCCCTGCACGGTGTCTCCGGATCTTCTCCTGTTGGCTCCTATTCACTTCTGTGCAGGGCACTTAGACTGGACTGCTGAGATAAATATCCCTAGCAGAATCTCTTGAGAAATTAAGGCGTGGAGCCATTGTATTTGGGCATTTTTGTGGGCGTTTGATTTTTTTGCTTTTTTTCTTCTCTTGTCCTGGCCAGTCAAGGAGTGAATTTCAGACCACCTTTCCCATTCACTCAGCAAACAGGTATTTGCCAGGCACAGTGCTAGGTGTTGGGAAAATAGAAATCACACGTGTCTTGCCCCAGCTAAGAGCATATACAGTCTACCAGAAAGGAGCTGTAGATCGACTTGTAAATAAGTGCCCTTGGGTGTCAGAGGTGCAGACATTAACTCTGTATGAGCTGTGATGTTAGTAAGTATGTGTAGAGGAAAACAGTAACTAAAATTAAAGAGGAAGTATTGCTAGTAAGCATCTGCCAACTTGCCAAACACAACAGCTTTATATAAGTGTATGTAATCCATGCAGCAACCCTATAATGTACATAATGTAACCCACCCCATTTAAAAACAGAAAAGCTGAAGTAGCAACAAGTTAGGTAACTTGGCCAAGGTCACAGAAGTGAACTGCTGAGTGGTCATCAGGATTTGAGTCCAGGCCGTCTGGTTCAAAAGCCCATGGACTTAGCCACTGCTCACTGAGAAAAAGTGTTTATGTTTCTGTATCACAAATTCTGTAATAAAGCAAGCATAACCTGGTCCAGGTCAACAGCTACTATTTGCAAGGAAGTGGCAGTTCTATTTTAAACCGTTGGACCAAAAAAGAAGCTCCCCCCTCCCTTCCCTGTGATGTGGTAACCATAGGTGTGAGTCAATATGAAATAAGCCTCCAGCTCCTGATGCAGTAGCTTTAATAGAGAGGAAATTAGTCTGGTGTAGCCCGAACACCTAAAACAATGCCCGGCAGGTATTTCTTGATTGAGAAAGGCTCACTAAAGAAAGCCTTGGTTTCTAACTGCAGGATTTGAGGAGGTGAGAGCAGAGCAACATGCTCTACAGTAACATTGAGCCCAGTTCTCATCATATTCAGTAAGAATATGGGCACCGATCACCATAAACCCCGCTCTCACTTGCTGTGGGAGAGCCCCCTTGGTGGGGGAGGGGCCGCCTGACCCTGTAGAACCGTCTAGACCTAAACAAAGGCTATATTGGTGGACTGAGTCGCTCCTCCTTACCATTAGGTGCTGACTCCATTTTGCATACGGAGAAAACCAGAGCAGGGAGGCTTTTGCACTCCGTAAATGGCCTCCCGAAGCAGACTCTATTACAGACCTTCCTGCCCTTTTGCCATTGCTCAAGAGTTTAACAGCCTGACCTGTACGTGTCGTAAGAGAGCACCACCACAGGTAGCCAAGCGGAAATCACCACTCGCTGTAGGGGACCCAGTAACCTCAGGGAGGAAGACAAGACCGACCACTGGAATCGTGGCTCCTACTGAAGTCATCACTGAAATGAGGAGAAGAAACAAAAGAGAACTTTTGTTTTCTTACAGAAAAAGAAGGAAACCGTAATTATTTCAAGAGTCCTATGGGAAGGAAAAGAAAGCTGATATATATAGATATAGAAAGATAAATATATATATAATGGCTATGTGTAATGTGCAAATTGGTGCAGATAAATAGGAATCAAATCACTAAAACCAAATTTGTATTGGTTCATACGCGGTTTTGCACTATTCGCTAACACCAGGTAAACGTGAAAAACACCATCCAGCTGCGCATAATGACCGGTGGTAGAATAATACAAAACACCTCTCTCAGTTTTCCGCAAGTGCATCGCCTACTGTATTCTCTCAGGAAAACACAGGGTGGTGTCCTGATCATAAGTGGCAAAGGAAAAGCCTTAGGCGTTGCAAAGCTCTGAAACGAGAGTGCTCTGTTGCTGTCGGCGGTCGGCCTTAAGCACACTCATGAACACAGGAGGCAACACTGAAAACAAAAGAGGCAAGAGCGTAATCTTAACTTCCCAAGAATCACCTGTTTTCCAGGCAGCTGAAGCCTGACAAGCACTCATTTGCTGGGGGTTGAAGGTAACCCCAAATCTGATGCAGCACGAGAGCACTCTGTCATCTCCTCATTGGGGTCACGCAAACAGCTTCTTGATGAGAGGTGGGAACTAACAAAACCAGAAAAGTCAGATTTCTGTTTGAAGCTAATGCAGAGGAACGAAAACCAGGACAAGGACCAGGACCACAGCCATCTACCTCCAGTATCCCATTTCATTCGAAAAACTTGAATCTTCCTTTTACCTGTTTTCCATAGTTCAAAAACCACAACCTCTCACTATAAACACCTCCACTAAGCCAACGTCATGTCTTGTCAAAACATTCTATATTTACTATCATGTTTCTTAGGAACTTAGGTTTAAAATTATGATAGTTTTCTTGTATCACAAGACGGTACAAGGTCTGAGCTTCCTGCCCAACTCCCCTTTTCCCATAATCCCTGTTATTTTGGGAGTGCAAAATTCTGCCATCCAGGGATTATTTTTTTAGGAATGCATATGCCATGTTATAGGGCAGACGGCTCTACTCACTGTAATCGCTGGTTTGGCACCTCCTTCTGTCAGGCTGACTCTTGTGGGGCCCTAAGAGTTCACCGTCCCCCAACCCCAGCAGAAGTTGGCCACATGGGAGATACCGTGCTAAAGTCCGGTGCCATCTCCTTGTCGACTCTGAACCCGAGTTGGGAGCACCTCCCTGGAAGGCCTCCTTCGTAGGCGCGGTGGCCTGCCCTTCTCTGCAGGCGGGGCCATCCCCAGGCTTCCATCAGCACCTCGCAGGTGGGCCAACACAAAGCTAGGTTCTACAGCGGGCCCTTTAAAGGCATCGTTGCCCAGAATGCAATCCTTTTCTTGCCTGTCCTAATTCCTACTCCAAATTTACAAAGCAAATACAAAGAACTAGGACCAGTGAGACTGATAATGTCCCTTGGTGTGGACAGACCGGGCCACGTGCTGACCCAGAGGCGAGGATTGTGATAATGAAGCAATGTTGCCATCTTTAAAAGTGATTGCAAAACAGAATTTTGTTTTAATTGTAAGGTTTAATTTAGATGAAGGAGGTTTAAAAAAACATGCAAACGGCCATGATCAGATTCCCACCATAGTTCCTCCTCTGTTGCGAATTCCCTGCTAGCTGCACCCAGACACTGTCACTGTGCTTGTGATCCCGTCTTTTTTTTTTTTTTTTTGCTGCATGATTTGTTTTCTGACCTTCTTTCCTGTTGAAGGGGCTTAGTACCACATGTAGCAAGAACAACACTAACTGTCCACTGTTCTTCCTGGCTGAAAACTTCCCGGTGGAACAGGTAGCAAGTTCTGAATCTGCAAAGCCTTCGAGCCCCAGGAGGGGTTCTGCTGCCAAGCTCCACAGTGCTGAGTTTGAATTGGATAAAACCCTATTTAAGAAGGTATGATCTTTCCAAGACCGACACGAAGGCTACATTTCAACTTAAATACAGGCTCTTACAGAGAAATGGTATCTCCCTCTCTGCCCAAAAATCTGAAATAAGAGAGTTGAATAGTTTTGCAGCATCTCGACCGCTCAGGGCTTCACCTTAGAAGAATGTAAATCTGAGATCAGCTACTGGTAAAACAGATGGGTGCCCCACACGCGCCCCAACTTCTAGTAGGCTGGCCGCCAAGGTTTAGGATACGTTTTCCACATGAAGGCAGCAGAAACAGGACCTCAGAAGGAGACACGGGTTTGTATCTGTGCCATTTGGTCCACGAGAAACCCTTTGATTTCAAACAGATCTTTATTTCAAGGCTTAACTTTGCTTTCACTGCCCTCACTTCTCAAGTCCAAAGGTAATACTCATTAAAGCCTTGCAAACAGAGGCCCCTAGAAGACCCTACTGTTTCAAGCGTGACACCTGCGCTTTATAGGGTGCTCTGGTGGGACTCCAGCTCGTCAGCCTATATTAAATCGTTCAGAATCACCACTCCGAAGTGATGATGCCATCTGACGTCTTTCGCAATCACAAAACTCAAAGGGGTCTTGGTATTTAGAGAAAATTTTGAGTATAATATAAGCAACTATCTTTGACTTTTTGGCAAATTCACAAAATCCAAATAAAATATTTTCACAACTTGTGTGAGAAAAATATTGCCAGTTATTTCATTATTACGCACCGTTACCAGCACCGTGTATAGGTGGAGTCAGTAAGTCATGAGAAATGTGAATATGTGTACCCTTCAGAAAACTGGACCCCGAAGTCTAAACCTTGGAAGCGGTGATTCATCAGCCGGCTCTCCAGTCTATATTAACAAAGGATCAGCTGCTGTGTTTCATTCAGCCATTCAACCAATGTTTATGTTCCGGAAACTATTCTAGGTGCTTGAAATAGATACGGGAATAAGTTTCCTGCTATCATGGTGTGCTACTGTGATTTATAATAAGAAATGTATATATTTGGTCTTCATCCTGTTTCTGGCACAGAGCTAAAACTCTTGGAATTTCCTAACTGGTGAGAGTGGTAAAGATGTATTTTGTTATATTAACGAGATGACTTTGGGATCGCACCTAAGGATGGGGACTGGTTGCCAGAACCAGCCACAGAGTAGAGGATTGGAGCCTTCAGTCCCACCCCG